AAAAAAAAAAAAAAAAAAAAAAAAAAAAAAAAAAAAAAAGTTTGAGGCTATGCTTCTGTTTCTTGCACAATAAGAAAATGACTGAGAGTGCTTACCAGCAGCAGCAGCAGCAGCAGCAGCAGCAGCAACAGCAGCAGCAGCAGCAACGACAGAAACAGCAGCAACAGCAACAGCAGCAGCATCCAAATCAGGCGACAGAGATAGCAATCGTAGAAGTAGTTGTAGCTGTTCACTGCACTGCTGAGTTTCGAGCTTTCAGCTGTATAAGAATTCATAAACCCTAAACCCTAAACCCTAAACCCTAAACCCTAGAGTGCTTTGGGTTTGTGTTGGGGGCGCAGGGGACCTCTCCCTATGGCTGGCCGCGGATGGCTTTCTGCATATACGGTAGAGACTGGTATGTATTTCTGTTTGTTTCAGAAATTTATTTTTAATTATTTTATATATTTTTCTTCACATATTTTACATGTTTTTGTCAGTGTAATCGATAAAACACATTCGTCCGTTTGAAATAATAATTTCTTCTTTTCTCTTTTTTTCCTTTTTTCTGTATTTAGCCAGTTTTCTCTGTTTGTCACCTTCAGCTGTATCCCCTACTCTGATTCTGTTTCAAAAAATATTGTGAATCATCGAGCTTTCTATTTCATAAATTATTATTATTATGCGTTTCATATTTCTCGTCAAACATTTTCATGAAATATTTCCATGAAATATTCTCATAAAATATTTTCATAAAATATTTTCATAAAATATCCTTTCTCATGAAAAAGTCTCATAAAATATTTTCATAAAATATTTTCATAAAATATTTTCATAAAATATCCTTTCTCATGAAACATTCTCATAAAATATTTTCATAAAATATCCTTTCTCATGAAATATTCTCATAAAATATTTTCATAAAATTTTCCTTCTCATGAAACATTCTCACAAAACATTTTCATTCGTAAAACATTTACATGAAATATTTCCATGAAACATTCTCATGAAACATTTTCATGAAATATCCTGATGAAACATTCATATTCACGAAACATTCCCATGAAACATTTGCATGAAATTTTCACATGAAATATCATATTTTATGAAACATTTTCATGAAATATTCTCGTAAAATATTCTAATGAAATATATATTTTCTCTGAATGAAAGTTTTCTATCATTAAACAGTACTTCTCAAAAAGTTTTCTGTTCTGAAATTTTCTTCCTCGTGCCGCATTCTGTTTCAACAAAAATATTCTGTTTCATGAAAAATTTTA